ATGGAAAAAAAATGTGAAGGTGGCCTAGCAGTACCAGATCTCAAACTGTATTACAAAGTAGTCATCATGAAAACAATCTGGTATTGCCTAAGAAGCAGAGTGGTGGATCAGTAGAATAAATTAGGTACACAGTACACAGTAGTAAACGACTATATTAATCTAGTGTTTGATAAACCCAAAGACCTTAGCTTGTGAGACAAGAACTTAAAAATGGCTGGGAAAAGGCGAAAGTAGTTTGGCAGAAACTAGATAGAGACCAACATCTCACACCGTATACCAAGAAAAGATCAAAATGGACACGATTTAGACATAAAGGGTGATATCATAAGCAAATCTGGGGAACACGGAATACTTTCCCTTTCAGAACTAGGGAGGAGGGAAGAATATATGACCAAACAAGAGATAGAAAGCAATACAGGATAATTTTTATGACATTAAATTTAAAAGAGTTTGCACAATCAAAACCAATTCAGTCAAGATTGGAAAAAAAGCAGAAAACTGGGGGTGGGGGGCAGGGAGACTGTCATAGTAAGTTTCTCTGATAAAGGCCTCATTTTTCAAATATATAGAAAAATAGGTCAAATTTATAAGAATGAGTCAAAATCAAAGGATGTGAACAGGCAGTTTTCAGAGGAATAAATAAAAGCTGTCTATAAGCCTATGAAAAAATGTCTTATATTACTATCAATTAGAGAAATGTAAATTAAAACAACCCTGAGGTACCACCTCCTATCAGGTTGGTTAATATGACAGAAAAGGAAAATGACAAATGTTGGAGGGAATGTGAGAAAATTGGGACAGTAATGCACTGTTGGTGGGGAGATGAACTGATCTAACCACTCTGGAGAGCACTTTGGAACTATGCCCAAAGGGTTGTAAAACTGTGTGTATGCTTTGATTCAGTAATACCACTACTAGGCCTGTATCCCAAAGAGATCAAAGAAAGAAGAAAAGAACCTAAATGCACAAAAAACTATTTACAGCAGCTCTTTTTGTGGTGACAAAGAATTGAGGGGATGCTTATCAATTGGGGAATGGCTAAACAAGCTGTGGTATATGATTGTGATGGAATATTATTTGTGCTATAAGAAATGACGAACAGATACTTTCAGAAAAGCCTGGGAAGGCTTATATGAATAGATGCAAAGTGAAGTGACAGAATAAGGAGAACATTGTACACAGTAATATTCTTTCCTAGTAAGTTTGTTCATATTGGACTTGAGTCCAAGTACTTCTATCTTGTTTGTAATTAATATTAATGTTTGAAACATGTATTCATTTATTGCTTTGATAGAATGCAGATAAGGTAAATTCAGAAATTCCCAAAGGGATAGAGAGCGATGCTTTGTGCAAGGGTGATCCATGAGTCAAAATAGAGTGTAATTACTGAGGTCTCCAGTATTGAACCTTAATTTATACTAAATCAATATATTGCTTACAGTACTGTTGGTGGAGCTGTGAGTTGGTTCAGCCATTCTAGAAAGGAATTAGGAACTATGCCCCAAATTCAACGAATTATATTATACCCTTTGATGTAGTGATACTATTAGGCCTATACCTTAAAGAGATCAAAGAAAGGAAAAAAGACTCAAATGTACAAAAATATTTCTAACAGTTCTTTTTTGTTATAGCAAAGGACTAGAAAACAAACAGATGTCTATCAATTGGAGAATGGCTAAAAAAATTATGTGTGAATGTAATGGATTACTCTACCATAAGAAATGACAAAAGGAATAGTTTTGGAGACACCAGGGAAGACTTGCATGAACTGATAGAGTGAAGTGAGCCCAACCCAGAGACCAATTTCTAAGGAAAAAATAACTTTGAAAAATACGGATTGATGAAATGATGAACTATGATTCCAGAAAATGGATGATGAGTATCCTACCCACCTCTGGACAGAGAGGTGATGGACTCAAGAAGCAGAATAAAGCACAGATTTTCAAATATGGCCAACATATGAATGTTTTGCTTGACTTTTGTTACAACAGTTTTGCCTTTTTTTCCCCTCCAAATACAGGGGAGAAGGGAGCTACCAACAGAGTTGGTTTTTGTTTGTTTTTTAAAGAGGCAACTGAAGCATTTATTTAATGCAGAGAACAGATGAAAATCCAGAAGGATATACAAACAAGACAATATTGAAGGTTTTATGTTGAGTTTTTTGTTGTCAGACATTTCAATCACATCCAACTCTTAATGACTCCACTTAGAATTTTCTTGGCAAAGATACAAGAGGGAGTTTGCCATTTCCATCTCCAGCTCATTTTATACAAGAGGAAACTGAGGCAAACAGTATTAAGTGACTTGCCCAGGGTCATACAGCTAGGAAGGAAGTATCTGAGGCCAGATTTAAACTTAGGAAGAAGATGAGTCTTCCTGACTCCAGGACCCACACTCTATCCACCACACCACCTAGCTGCCCCATGTTGAGTTTAGTAGACACCTAAAAGGAAAAGCAAGCTGTATATAACAGAAATACAGATTAATGTATAAATCCTTTTTCTGTTCTTAGTACATAGAAATGTTTGGGGTTTTTTTGTGTAAGTTCAGAATAAAAAAAATTAATTAGCCAACTAATAGCCATATTCTCTATTTAAAGTGTCTTTTTGGTGTGACTCTGGTTAGTTCGTTCACACAACTAAGGTATAACAGAAATCCTATAAATCGCTTCTTTAAAGTCCACAAAGAAACTTTTCATCTTTCTTTTTAATGAAACCTTTTAATTTAAACAGTTAGTTTTTAAATGGAGGGTTTTCATAGTTAGAGTGCCATGTCCTTCAGGAGATAAAAATGAATTGTTTACTAAGTAAAACATGTATTACAGCTTAAGTATTTGACATTTCATATTACTCATGACCATGTCAAAAGACTGAGTCACTCTGGTATGTTATATAGTTTAAGAGATTATAAATTCTTTTAGTCACTAAAATATTATATATTTCAATTACTCCAATCCACTAAATGGCACAAACACAACAGGGTACATAAATAAAACTATATAATCCATAGTCTAAAAAGCATACTCCATCACCTTGCGTAGACTCAAAATTAAATGAAGGTGTGTTTTGGCAGGAAGACATGACAGAACTGCCTCCGCTTTCTGTTGTAGCTCTTTCAGGATTTGACCTATGGCAACAACAGCTTAATTTTTTCTGCCTGCCTTGGGAACCTAAAAAAAAAAGTATGCCATACTCAGCCATTTAGTACCTTGCTCCTTTAGCAGATTTTCTTTTTCTTTCTTTTCATACCAACATAAAGTCCCTCATGAGCGAAAAACGCTCTGCCTCCTTATTGCTCACTCAAAATATCCATCTTTAAGTTCAGCTTAGATACCTCCTTCTACATGGAGGGTTTCCCTGACTACCCACATTTTTAGTTAACTACTTCCCCTTTCAAAATGATTTGTATCTATTTTGTATTTATTTACCTAGTTACATTCTATATCTGCTTGAGTAAAATTTAAGCTTCTAAAGAATAGACTTTCACTTTCATCTTTGTATCTCACAGCACCTTCCACAACGGACACTCAAACTTAATAAATGCTTGCTAAATTGAATTGTATCAATAAATATAATTTCCTCCTCTAAAGTTCTATTCCAATATCTCATTGAAAATGACCCTGGGTTCTCAAGTACTCAACTACCAGAATGCAAAGCTCTAGCAGGTTCAAGTACCAAACTAGAAAGATTTTGATGGTTCAAGAACTAGCATAGGTCAGTCTGGAAAGGTGGCCCAAAAAATGATTTCTGACCACAGAAATCCATCAAGTTCATCTTTTAAAGGTGTGGAAGAACCAGCCACAATTTACGTTGGCAGAGGAAGTACCTACATGGACCAAATAACAGATCTGACCATGTGACCCCCAAACTCAATTAACTCCATTAACTTCCTATTGACTTTTAGATAAATATAAACTCTTCTGTTGAGTTTTTAGAGCCCTACACAACCTGGCCTCAAGCTATCTCTCCAGTCTCAGCAGACATTATTCTCCCTCCCGTTCTCTGTAAATCAGGCAACCTGACCTTCTCTCTGTTCCTCAAACACTCCAAGAACACTGTACGCAGTAACAGCAATATTGTGTGATGATTAACTTTGACAGACTTAACTCTTCTCTGCAATACAAGGATCTAAGACAATTCTAAAAGACTCATGATGGAAAATGCTATCCATATCCAGAGAAAGAACTATGGAGTCTGAATGCAGATCAAAACAGTTTTCTCCTTTTTTTATTGTCTGTTTTTTCTTTCTTGTGGTTTTTCCCTTTTGTTCTGACTCTTCTTTCACAACATGACTAATGTGGAAATGTGTTTAATATGATTGTACATGTATAGCCTATATCAGATTGCTTGCCAACTTGGGGAAGGGAAGGGGAGAGGAGGGAGGAAGAAAAAAATTTAGAACTCAAAATCTTATAAAAGTGAATGTTGAAAATTATCTTTACATGTAATTGGAAAAAATAAAATATACTAAGTGTGGAAAAACCCCCCAGCACTCCATTTTCCATCTATTTCTGTCCCTTGACACTGGCCTTCCCACATGCCTGGAGTGGTGCCCGACCATCTTAACATCACCTCAGAGGACAGCCCTTCTTTTAAAAGTCTATTAAAGCTCCATCTTCTCCTTGAAATCTTTTCTGATGCCCCAACTGTTAAATTGAGCTCTTTGTATATATTTACATTTATTCACTTTATATTCATGCAAGATATATTTATATAAATACTTATTATCTCCCCCATTAGCATAAGCTCCTTGCAAATAGAGATTGTTTCATTTTTTTTTTAACTAGTATCCCCATGGTACATAGCACAATGCCTGGCACAAAGCAGGTGCTTAATGAATACCTATTGACTAGACTTTGAATTACTTAAGAAGGTCATTAGTCTGGCCAAGAAAAGCCTATCACACATAGGTTTGTGTTTAAAGTACTTTATTAAACTAGATGTACAATTTGCAAATTCTTTTCAATAGAAATTTTAAAAGCAAAATTATAAAAAGTCTTTCAATTAAAAAATTACATAGTTAACAACAAAATTACACTTTTCTCTATAATACAGTTTCTGATATACTGCCTGAAAAATTAAATTATGTTCTCCAATGAACTGATATTAATAACCTTAGCTGCAATGTTGTATTTCAATGAGAATTTTCACAGTTATTTCAATTACTCATCAATAGCAGGCTCATTACTTGACACAGAATCCAAAGTTCATGTTTAGAAGAATGAAAACAAAACTTGGCAACCAACATGAAGGCATACAAAGGTTGAGATACTGACGTGGTTCTAGTCTTGTTCTTCATTAATTCTGTGTTAATACTCTGTGAACCTGAATTACATTTAAAGGATATACAAGCACCATTAACATAGACTATGTAGACTCTTATTAGATCTTTTAATGACACTTTATACCATACAAACATTTAGGTCTATTTTTTCACCATGTAAATAAAGATAAACAAAGATTAAGCCACTGTACAATAGTTATTAAATTTTACCCCCATCACAAAGCAAAACAGATGTATTAATGCACAAGAACCATATCCAACGAAAAGCACATAGGAAAAAGCATACCATATTTTTGTGGTCACTTTCATAAATTTAGATCATGCAGAACATTGTCGGAGCAATTTCCTGAGTTTCAAAGGTTTCCAGTTTCCACCACCTCAAAAATTTGCTACCATCACTGTGGCCAACCATAGGAAAGACTTAAATTAAAAAAGACTATCAGAAAGAAATCACAAGCTATGCCTTCAGAATGTTTTACAACTCCTATGATGCACTCACATAATCTATACAAACTCTATTTTTAAAAGAAATTATAATTCTACCAACCTGAGCAACAAACTTAACAGCAAGGGAAAGCTCTAAAAACAACAAATACATAGGCAAACATGCAATGGTGAAAAATTCTGATAAAACATGCAATCATTTCTCACTTGGGGAAAAAAAAGCAAAATAAATACTCTAAAATATCCTGTCAGTTCTTTCCATTTTTAAAAAATCATTTCTATCCTCTATTTCTTGTTAAATATTGGTAAAGGTTACACTCAATGATGAAATCTTCTATATGTAACCAAATACAAAATGAATTTTTAAAGACAGTCAATAAACTGTGGCACAGATAAACCAACACATAAAACAGCAGATCATCCCCAAATTGATTCTCTTTGGCATGCACTTTATGACTGGAAGGGAAAAGTAATTTTTTTTCCCTAATTATGTTTTGCCTAAGTTAATTAAACTTTTGTTTCCTGAGCACACATCAACTGTAAGAGAGGTTGTTCAAAAGTGTGCCAGAGGGAGAGAGTGAGGATTGGAGAAATGGCATAAGTTTGGAATAAAAATATTTTTATGGATAAACCATCAATGATCAAAAACTTCATGGTGCATTTTCAATAATCAAGAAAAAAAAAAACAAACCCAACATCTTTACCAAAAATAAGGTATTAGATTCAAGCTACCAATGTACAACCCCAAGGTACTAACAATTTGGTTTTTACTTCAATATATTAGGTGGCCTTTAGATCATTTTGTCCACACCCCTACTCATGGTGAAGACATAGTAGAATAATTCCAACTCAAGTGATCAACTAAGTTATTTTGTCACTGGGTCTCCTAATACGAAAATTGAGGAACTGAGCGGAAAGCTTCATATGCTCCAGTACTCAGTTGGCTGTATATCTCAATTAAAATTTTTAAGACACCTCTTAAACTTTCTTATTAACATACATAGATTGTTGCTTCTGTTAACAATCACACTTTTGCAGTAATTATGGAAAAAGTTAGGTTTTATTTTTACACATACAGCTCTTTACATAGGACAAAGACCATAAGCCAAATTATCAATATTTCCTTAGATTTGAACAAATTATAAAACTGTTTAAAATGTAATTATGTGAAAAATACTTTAGCAGCAACTACTAAAAATGTTTCTTGTACTGTACATAAACTCAGATTTTTTTTCCTGAAAATACAACTTCACAAGTAAGGTTTCCCTTTAAAAAGCATGCATTTAGTACGTGTATTTTTTCTTAAAAAAATACTTCAAGATGCTCCTGGGATCTGTTTTTATTAAAATGTATCTTCTTTTTGGAGACATAGTTATAAATTTTGGGAACTTCTTACAGTAAAATAGTACCTGAAAGATGATTCCTGAATTTCTGATCTCATATTTTAAGCTAAAAAATTAGTTTGCTAAATAAATGTGGAAAATATCTTCTACCTTTTAGAGTCAAACTCTCTTCCCCCCAAAATATAAAAATTTATTCTATATTTTTAAAACAACAAACCTATATATTATGCTACAATAATTTTTTAAAGATGTTATAATGGGGGGTCAATCCCATAAGGAAAATTACATTAAAATTTTCTCAGCTCAAAATTGTAAAGCAGCATAATGGAAAATAATTACAAAGAAACAAAAGTATATATATACAACTAGTCCACCGAGCAGAGCAAATCTATGGAATTTTCCTTTGAGAAAACATTGAGGATTATGTTTAATATGGTTAAAACTTTAACTTTAAGGTTTTCTTTTAAATTAGAGTTAAGAATGTCTTCTAAATCTATGCTGGATAACAGGATTTCAATCTACTACAATTTAGACATTACCCATATCAAACATAAATGAAGATACTTATATTGAATGAAGATACTATATTTAAGGGGCCTGTTTTATTTAAACAACAAAGAATATGTCCCAATGACATGGTCTATCTAAACATTTCTTTAAATGTTCCTGCCTTTATCAAAATAAGTGCAGAGGAGAGCATGAGTAAGACTGGTGGGAGGGGTCCCTATCTACCTATCTACTCACCCTCTCTTCACCCATGGCATACACAGGAAAAAGGCAAGAGAGGTCCCACAAATCAAGGAAAAAAAAAACTCCAGCAGTCCCTTTTATCCCTCTTGGTATCTAGAAGGATAAAATGACAACTAATAAGATGTTTGATTTGTGTGTCAAATTCAAATATGTTTGCTGTCATTTTGTTTTGTTTTGTTTTTTAAAACAAGATTTTGATAGGCAAGAACCATACCTTCTAGTACTCTCCATACTACATGGAAATCTATAGATATTTTGTAAATGTTAAAATAGCAATACAAAGTTTTTATTTTCTATCTGAAAGTAGAATTGAGGGGGGCATCAAACTTTTAAATGGTAATCAATCATAGCTTTCTTTAAAATTGTGTTATCAATAAGTATGCTGTATTTTTTCATCTTTGATAGGCAATATATTTGGCATTAGACTTAGTAAAAAAGTAAGATTCTTTCAAGTTCTGAAAAACATCACAAATTATTTTGCTGTAAAAGTGGAAAGTATTCCCAAGGAAATATTTGTATAACCGCAAAGTCAATTTCAATTGCTGCAAATGTTTCAGTACAAGTTTTAACAACAACAAAAAATCAGCTGTTTACTTTAGTATAACTTTCAAGCACCCTGGTTTAATTTCAGAGAACCTGTAAAACAAGAAGGAATAGATTCAAAATACAGCTTTATAATAGACTTTAAAAAATATACCCTTATCAACTTCATCTCAAAGTACCTCCATTCAACATCTTAAGAGTATAAGCATGATACAGTAGAAAGAACCTCAAACAACGTGTCGAGGAGTCAACTCCAGAGGTGTCAGAGTCAACTCCATGTTCTGCCATACACGGGATATTTTCCTTCTATGTAAAAGGTGAAGAACTAGATGACTTTTAAGGTTCCTTTCAAGTCCTCAAATTCTGTGATTTTAAGATCACTAACTCTGACTTTGCTATCACTTCTTCTAATTTAATGTCAAATTAAATACAATTCAGAAACAGGAGTAGCATCTCTACCTGAATACCTGTTAAGTCCTACTTTCTCAACTACCAGACCTAAATTATACCTCTAAATTCAGGAAGAAACAGATACCTGTTTTCTTAAGGATAAGTTCATTGCTATCTGTAGTCAGACTGTCTGAAAGTAAGAGGTAAGTCAGTCCTCAAAAGAAGTCGCTCATGAAAACTCAATGCCAGCAGGAAGACAAAAGTAATAGTAATAAAGTCCTCAGGTCCTGCTGAACTTGAACTTTGTTCAACAGAAAAGTAAACAGTAACATTAGTCAGTAAAAGAGATTCCTAATTAATGATACTATGTATTGGATGGATGACTCCTTTTCCAAAATTAATTCTGAAATATTACTTCTCACCCTCAGAATGAATGTTTTTATATTATTTAGTACAAATATGGCATTTTTATTACAAAGAAGTAATCATGACAATTATACCACACTGATGAATGTGCTAATCTACAAATTTGTCTTCAATAGATATTTTCATCTTTTTTCATCATTTTAGTCATCAAGTAATATGTGACCTTCAAAATGCAGGGAAAGCAAATAGCAAATCTATATTGTGATGTATAATCTTAATTTTTCATTTTAGAAAACATTTCTCTAGTAAAAATCTTTCTCTGAACTTTCAAAAGATTACAACCTACCTGATTAGTATGAGGCACAATATCTGTATTCTTTTTAAAATTCTTACTATGGCTAGAAATGGAATTGCAATGAAATATAAACACATATAAACTCCTATCCTTATTCATGTGCACGATTTGTGGCACGAAATACTGCAACAGGATTAGTATAGTTAGTTTCAATGTACTATTACAAGAACCTGTTTTGAACAAACACCAGTGTTTACCTCATTATATATGCAAGTTTCATTATCTGTAACAGAAATCTAAGCTCACCTGAAGTTGTGGCTTGTGAGGTATTTAATGACTGCTGGTTTGATTCGAGCAACTCCTCCCTGGCTATGGTTTCCTCTTCCCGTAATGACAGAGAGATACGGTTTACCACCATTCTGCTTATGCTCTTACAAAAGGAATTACAGCTGTTAAAATTCACTCTTACAGGGGAGGTCTTGACATATAACAGATCTACACCTACATATCTAAAAATTGTTTCCACAATGACTGACAGATGTAATAACCCAACAAAACCAAAAAAATGCATTAAAAATGCATGTTTTAGCCAAACTCCAGGTATAGTGAATCTTCAAACTCACTCGAAGAATAAAGGACTGAAGAATGGAGAGGTAATTCCATATCCCTCCTTAAATCCTCTCATATCACCCTCTGCTCTGAAGAGAGGAGCATCACTTAGAAACACTGTCAATACCTGTTAAAAATCCCAAATGGGGTCACAAAGAGTTGGACACAGCTGAAATGCCTCATCAGCAACAACAAATGGATTTATAGCATATTCCAGGAATGTAAGGACTGAGGCAGGAGACTGAATCTGATTAGCTAGACCACTGAGAAGAGTCAAGTGACTTGCTCAGAGGGAGTCAATATGTGTCAGATACAGGACCTGAATCCAAGTCTTTCCAGCTTTAAGACCAGCCCTTTATGCGCTAAATCATGTTTAGTAGAATAATAACAGCTAATGTTTATATAGCAGTATGTTCCAGGCACTGTGCTAAGCGCCTTATAATTATTATCTCATTGTTCCTCACAATAACCCTGTGGGCAAGTGCTATTATTGCTATTTTAAACATGAGGAAACTGACGCAAACAAAGATGAAATGACTTGCCCAAGGTTACACAGTTAATAAATGTCTGAGCTGGATTTGAACTCAGGTCTTCCTGACTCCAAGCCTAGAGCTCTATCCATTATGCCACCTAGCTCACCTTGGGGTTATCTATACCAATTAAATCACAAGTCCAGCCCCTATCTCTATCTCTTTATTTACTAGGAATATACCCAAACTGACTTCCTTTCCCACTCCCACAACACTGGGACAAGTAGACCGGAACTAAATGACTCCATTCCCCCAGGGTTCAGCCTACTCTGGGTATTTGGTGTTTTGTCATATTCTTCCTTGGTCTACTTTCATCTTCTGATGAAGCAAGTATGCCCTTTCCCCTCTTGCTTTCATGGTAGAAAGAAATGCTTAGCTGACTGATTATAGAGCCTATACTTCTAAGATTCAATCAAGTTAAGTGTCTATTATGTGCCAGATATTGTACCAGGTGCCTGGGACACAGAAACAGAAGTGGAACAATTCCTGACTTTAGGGAGCTTACAAAGTAGTCAGGGTAGACGGACATATGGATGGACAGGACAGACGGATGTAGGTAATAAAATTAGTAGCCTGAAGGAAGAAGGTGGGAAGAGAAGGGGAGAGAGGAAATGGATTGGGACATGTTTCATGTAGAAAGTAGCACCTGAGCTAACTGATTCTTAAAGGAAACTAAGGATTCCAAGGGGCAGAGGTTGGGGAGAGTGAACTTCAGGCATGGAGATCAAAACTGAAATCATTTGTTTTTCTGAACCAGTTTTTCTAGATCATTACAGTACTGAGTGAGTTGCACTAAGAGGCAAATGTATGTGAATTTCTCAAGTTGTGAATTTCACATTTTTTTTCAGTTCAATCCACTCACTATTTTCTTATGAGTCTTACTTGCCTAAGGAATCAGTAGTGGAAATAAGCCCTGTACTTTCATACTGGGAGAGAGAGATCCAGTTTTAAAAAACAAAACTATCTATAACAAGATCTTAGATTTAGAATTAGAAGAGACTTTTAGTCTAACTGTCATTTTTAAGGATGAGAAATTCAAGGCTCTGAAAGGTTAATTTGTCCACGATCACAGGCAACATGTGTCCGAATTGAACCCAGGTCTTCTAATTCCAAATCTAGGACTCCTTTCAATGACTTTTCAATACTTCAAAAAAAAAAAACAGTCCCAATCAACAAATATTTATTAAGTTATAACATAGTTTCCCTAACTTAGAAGCCTCTCTCTCAAGATTGTCTCTACCCCATTCATCCTCCCCAGAACCCCAAAGAACTGCCAAAGTGATTTTCTAAAAGCAAAGGTCTGACCACGTCACTCTTCTATTTAATATACTCCTTGGGTAAGTATTTATCTTCTTTGGGCCTGTTTCCTCATTTATAAAATGAACAGGTTGGACTAGATGAACTGAGGCCTCTTCCAGCTCCAGATATGATTCTATGATCAGTAGCATACTTTTCTTAATGTTCATAAACCACCTCCTTAATAATATTCTAGAATTTAGCCAAAAATTGAAGTTCATTTCACTGTTTTATAATCCATAGGTTTTTACTTCACTTGTATAAAAAAAATCTGGGGACAGTTCTATGACTCCTTCATTCATGATCTTTCTTAAAAAAGCCTGAAAATATATTTATTATTCCACACCCAAAGACTTCACACTGTAAAGGAATGGGGTGGCAGTGTTTTCTCATATCTCTTTATCCAAGTCATGCTTGAAAGTACTTGTAATATTGCCACATTCACTTGATTGATTTGTTTTTTCCATTTAAACTACTGTAGTCATTGTTTCTAGTGTTATTGTTGTTCTGTTTTCTCAAGCTCATTCTGAACATTAGGGCTTTTGACACTTATCCTTCATTACCTTCTCCTTGCTTCCATCATCTACACATTATTAATGAGTTCCTTGCTTAGCCACATGATTCTCTACTGACAGTTCTTTCTCTCCCTTACTGAAATTGTTTCTGCTTACATCTTCAGAACCTCATCCTTAAGAGATTCCCATACATTCTGGGCTGACTAACCCTATGCAAGTTTAAGTTACGGATTCCAGCCTACCTTTTCTCTTAATGCTTTTGTCTTCCCCTTCCTTATCAAGAATTTTAATGATTATAAATTTTGAGTTTTGATTCTGTCCTGATCAATCCTGTGCCTTCAAACATACTCATCATCAAAGTCACAGATTAAAATGAAGAACAGAAGAGAAAAAAAGACACCTGTGACATTCAAACAGCGCTCTCCTTCCAGAATTTTTACAAGACATTGTTGAAAATTCTTTGGGCTCAAAAAAAAAATTCTTAATCCAATTTACCTAAGTGGTATTACTATTTTCTACAAAAAGTTATTTTGAATTATAAGAATAAGAACTATGTCCCAATTGATATGAACTGGCAGTTTTCAAAGGAAGAAATCCAGGATATCAATAAATCATATTAAAAGTGCTCCAAATCACTAATAATTTGAGAAATGTAAATCAGAACTTAAAGACTCCACCTCACACCTAGCAGACTGACAAAGATGACAAAAGAAGAAAATGGCAAATGCTGAAGGAATTTTGGGGAAACAAGCACTTGTATATTGCTGGGGAAGCCATGAATTCACCCAGCCATTCTTAAAAACAATTTATAACTATTTTCTTTGACCCAACTATACCACTACTAGGACTATCTTTCAAAATAAATCAAAAAAAGATGAAAAGAATCTATGAGTACAAATATATTTATAAGCAAGTCTTTTCATGATGGCCAAAAATTGGAAATTAAAGGGGAACTAAAGGAATTCTCCTATTGGGAAATGACTAAAGAAATTGTGGATTATGAACACAATGGAATATTATTGGGCCATAGAAATGATGAAATGAACAATCTGAGAGCTAAATGGGAAAACCTCTATGAACTGATGATGTAGGATGTAGAACAATTTATTCAGATAATATCACAGTGAAAAACAACTTTGAAAGGCTTTAGAACTCTGATCAATGCAATTATAATCCAAAAGAGTAAGTCTAATGATAACTCTAAAAGAACACTCACCTCCTGATAAAGTGGTAATGAACTTAAAATGCCAAGAGAGAGATACATTTTTGAACATGGCTAACATGGGGATTGGTTTTGCCAAATTATGCAACTATGGGCTTAAATTTTTTTTTATTTGATCAACTAAAAGGAAAGAGGTAAAAAAAGAGGACAGATTAATTTAAAATCAATTATTAATTGAAAATTGTGTGAGTAGCGACAAGTCACCTAGCCCCTCAGTCAGTGTTTGAATTGGAATCCTTGGTTGGGGTTGCCACCTAGACAGTTCTCTGCATAGCCCAGGTCTTGCCTGTGACCTGATCCCTCTTTAGATGCTAAGGTCACTCCTGGGATCAAACAGCTATGACACTTATGCTCTTACTTAAGGAAATAAGAAAAGAGGGGGTAGCATTTGGCCATTTCTGGAAGTTGGAAAATGACCTGAGTGTCTTGAACCAGAAAGGGTAGATCAAACATTTGGAATGAACAAATATTTGGTTTGGGCATCGAAAAAGTAAGGGAATATGTTGAGTCTTTGGAAGATCCACCAGAAGATTAAAGTAGTAATCAAGGGAATTAAGTATAAGAAATCATTGAGAACCTCTGGGAAAATGAGTGAAACTAAGATGTGTGGAGCCTTAACTTTTCTCTAAGCCCTGCTCTAGGAGAAACATCCCATCCCAGTGAGCCCAGGATCAATACCCCACTTCACACACACAGGATGAGCCCCAGCAGACTGAGCTGTGCTAAGAGGCTGATTATCAGATTTAGTCATGTACCACCTGACTCACTGGGGCATATGTAGATTAGGGTTTCTGCCTGAGGGCAGAAACACAAGAGAGCAAGAATAGTTATCTGACACCTTACCTGAATTCCTAGGAAAAGTTCGGCCTAACCAGGTTGCTTCATTTACTTAAGTCAAAGTCACATAAGCAGGAAGATGAAATGCACAGCTTGTTATAGAGCTATGCCTTAATGACTTGAGTTTTCCCAAAATGGTTTTTGTGACAACTTTGTAATTTTCAGTAATAGTGTCCATGTCCTTTTCATTTCCACTACACCAAAGATCGGTGAGATTTCTGAAAGTTCTTTTCAAGTCATAGAATTATCAGATTTATAGGTGGCCTGACATTAAGAAATACTGGACTAGAACAGATATGAAATGCAAGAAATGAGAGGCAGAAATAAAAAGAGAAGGAAATATTTCCATGCATGCTGAAAAGAACTATTTTTCAAAAGGGAGCCATTAAATAAAGTAACATAAACTTTATTTATATACCATTTAGTGATCATCAGCATACAGACTCTCTAACACCTCCATGAATATGTAAAAATAAGAAAATCAACATCTTTTTGAAAAGAGATTACTAAATATTTACCTTCAGCTTTTTGTTGCAATACAGTTATTAAATGATTTATGGCTTCATCTACGTGGAGTCCATGTAGGTCCAAAACATTCTGCGGTAGTAGGGATGCATTGACTTTCTCAAATATCTCCACAGCAGCAAGATGGTTGGCTTCTCTCATCTTCTCCTCATGGAGACTACCCTTTAATTATAAATATATCACCAGTTGAGATGAATGACTTTTTTCTGCTTAGCAATACATAATGAAAAAGATTAATAGGACCCATAAGAAAAGGCTGCCCACACAGGAGCAAGACGGATGAAGGTAAAATTAAAAATACTATATAGGCCTCCATATACACAGATATTTATCAGAGAATCAATGGGTAAAATGAATAGGAGGCTATGGCTGCAACAAGAAATGCTTTTTAAAAAGAGATGCTAATATTCATGGATTGAAGATTAGTATCTGCCTCAATTTTCGTATTTAATATTCACTGATATTACAGTGCTTGATAAGCAGAACAAAAATTACTTAGGGAATTTTGACAAGAACTGTTACAAAAACTAGAGAGCAGTGTTCTAGAAATTATGTTTAGAATATCTTATACCATATACCACAATTAGCTCAAAATGGGTATGTAACTTGAACAGTAAAAGTCCTATCATTGTAACAAAACAAATAAGGCAACTTTTACAATTATGGCCAAGGAGAGAACTCTTAACCTAAAGATGGTTAGAAGCAATCATCAAAGTCAAAATAGTCTTCCTGGCAAGCCTAAGAAGCTCTTTATGTACCACTATGCCATGCTTCTGATGGATTTAATATCCAAGATATATAGGGAACTAACAGCAAATATATAAGACCAAAAGTCATTCCCTAATGTTTAAGGGTTCAAAGGATATAAAAAAAAAAAATAACTGAAAAAACCACAAACTCTTAACAACCACGTGAAAGATTGCTCCTAATCACAAATAAGAGAAATTCAATCAAAACAATTCCGAGCCTTCAATTTATACCCAACAACTGGGCAAAGAAGACAGAAGATGGGAATAGTTAATGGTGGAGAAGAAAGACAAGCACAATAATGCACTGTTGGTGAAGCTATGGACTGATCAACCATTATGGAAATCAATTTGGAATTAAGCTAAGAAACTGACCAAAATGTCCACACTGACATATTTGAGGTGCCATGTTAGTGATAAAAAGGTCCCATAAACAAAATAATTAATAGAAGCACTTTCTGTAGTAGTGAAAGAACTGAAAACAAAGTTGATGCCCAAAATTGTGACACATGTATTAAATGGATTATCATTGTGCTGTAAAAATAACCAATTTGAAGAACAGATAAGACTTACAGGGAGGCTATTACTATGTACTGATGCAAAATAAAGTAGGCAGATACAGAAAAATTATACATAATAAATACAACAATATAAATGGATAGATAAATAAAACAAAAATAGAAATTGAATGCCATGAAAAGCTTGGTCCAAGGGAAGAACAATGAGACAGTATCTCCTTTCTTTGTAGAGGTAGATGGCTATGGGTTTGGAACACTGCAAAATTAAACTTGGTTTAATGTTGATTACTTTTGCTGAATCTTTTCTCCTCCACTTTCTTATTCTTTGCTATAAAGGATGGCTCTTTGAGAGGGCAAGAGGGAAAGTTATCTTGGGAAATGTAGCTGATATAAAAACAATTCAAATAAGAAAAAAAGCCCCAGGCCACTAGAACAACCAAACAATGAGTGTTGCTGCCATAACCTCTCCTCCCCAACCAAATTACATATCAAAAGCTTCTCATATTAGGGGATTAGTTGCAACTTTCGGCTCCTGGAAAATGAGGTAAGGATTTTGTGGGAACTTTTAAGTAAGTCATATAGTTACATCATTAAGAACTCAACAAAATATTACATAAATGGCAATAATATCCAACTTTAAATAAACATTTATTAATGTTAATTGTTTTCAGAATAAATATCAATAGATCAAGATCTAAAATAGAAAAGCATTCAAACAAAAAAAAAATCTACACACTAACCATTTTAAAGTAGATTAAATACTCAGGCATTGATAAGATGATACTTATTTTATTTGTAGACACCTAAGTGGCACAGTGGATATAGCAGAAGACCTGGAGTCAGGAGGACCTCAGTTCAATTCTGATCTTAGACACTAACTAGCTGTGTGATCCTGGGCAAGCCACTTAACCCTGTTTGCCTCAATTTCCTTATCTGTAAAATGAAGTAAAGAAGGAAATGGCAAACCACTCCAGTATCTTTGCCAAGAAAACCTCAAATGAGGTCATGAAAAGTCAGGCACAACTAAAATGTCTAAACAACAAACTCTTGAGCAGGCAGGTGGCACAGCACAGGGTCCGAGGTCAAATCTGGTGCCAGACACTTACTACCTATGTGGCCCTGGGCACATTTACCCTATTTGCTTCAGTTTCCTCACCTGTAAAATGAGCTGGAGAAGGAAATGACAAACCACTCCAGTATCTTTGCCAAGAAATCCCCAAATGGGGTCATGAAGAGTCAGACATGACTGAAACAACCAAACAACATTTTATTTATAGCCTTCTGACTATGTAAATAACTTCCAGAATTACGCAGTTCAACCTATAAACAAATGAAATCCCCACTATAATATACCTACATACTCTGGACACAGAGGGTCACCTATCTCTCCAGGTAGCCATATTCCTCTCCTGGACAGCTCAAATTGTTAAGAAGTTCCTGATGACATGAAACCTCAGTTGCCCTCTTTTCAACCACTCGCTATTGCTCCTGGTTTCAGCCCTTGGGACCAAACCGAATAAATCTTATCTCTCCACCACAGGATGGCCCTTCAAACAGAAAGCTATCACGTCCCTTCTGAGTCTCCTCTTCTCCAGGCTAAGCATGCTCAGTTCCTTTGACCAACCCTTCAGCACCCTAACTGCCCTCCTCAGAACACTCTCAACGTTGAGCTTATCAACGTCCTTATTAAACAATGGTATTCAGAAATGACAGAAGAGGCCTAACAGGTGAAGAGTACAGTGGGACCTCCATTATCATATTAGCATTGCTAGATGCCATATCACATTCACAGAGTGAAGGACTTTAGAGTCAGGAGACCTGAATTCAATTCCAACCTCAGACACTATGTGACCCTGGTTAAGTCATTTATCCTCTGTCTCAGTTTCCTCATCTGTAAAATAGGGATAATAAAAGCACCTACTTCCCAGGATTGTGAGGATCAAATGTGATAATTGTAAAGCACTTAGTACACCTTAAAGCCCTGTACAAATGTCAGTTTTTATCATTATATTGAGCTTGTAGTCTCCTAAAACTAGGATTGTTTTTCAGAACTCCTGTCTAATCAAGTCAGTCCATCTTATATTTATGAAAATGACTTTTTGTAACAACATGAAAGACTTTGTATTTATTCCTAGTGAATTTCATATTAATAGATTCAACCTAATGCTCTTGTCTGTCAAGATCTTTATTCCCAACTCTGTCATCATGTCTTAGTTACCCCTGCCAGCATACCTTACCTGCAAATTTGACAAGCATACCACTTATTCCTTTATCAAGTCATTGATAAATGACTTTATCTATCACTCAGATTAGGGAGAAATACAAAAGTCTCATCATCAACTCAAGATACTGCAAAATTTCTCTGAATCTCCATAATGGTTGAAATTTTGAGCTTTCTTAAAAAGAAAAAGGTCTAAAAGGTTTTTTTTAAATCAAAATTATTACCTCTAAATAAGGTATCTTCTTTACTTAACTTCCTTCCCTTAGACTCAACAACTCCACAACTACCCCCACATCGCCTTAAGCCAGCACAATAAATCTCACCAATTCACGTCACCCACAAATCCACTCTATCAATAATTACCTGCTAATTGTTCCACTTACACTTTGCTTGTTTGCCTTATCTTGTGAATTACCTTCCCATTATCCTACTCTTCAGGTTCTGCTCCCTTACTGTATCCTCCCCAGTGGTCCTTGATTATGGCCTGCTTTCAACCAAAAGATCAAATTTGGACCAATGTCTGAGCCTGGCAATTGTTCTCTTTCCCACAAATTTCAAGCTCTGACCTACTTCACTAGTATGAACCTCTCCAAGTCACCGAGACAATTTGCTTCTCCTCCATTTTTGACTCAAGTGCTTCTTTCTTTTCCCTCTTCTTGTCCCACCATCTCATCCCAAGTCAGAAGCAGAACTCTAACACTAGTGATATAAAAATATTTTTGCTTAAAGGATAGATATGTTAGAAAATAGCAACAGTTAAAAAAACCCCAACACTAATAAGTAATTGTCCATTTTACCTGCTGTGCATAAAAGGTGGCAACATTTTTTTTCCCCATGCGATAAGCTTCTTTTGCCTTGCTGTAGCATTCCAATCTCTTTTGCTGGTGAAGGACAGCCTCTGCTCTGTAGTCATCATACTTAGGGTACTCAAAATCCTGGAAAGATGGATCACTTGGTATATCTTCTGTCTCTTTGGATTTCTTTGTCTAAAAAAAAAAGAAAACCACTCAGTGAGTCAACAAGGAAAAGAGAAAACACAGTTCAACTTTACACAGCTTTTAGTTAAAAACTCCTTGGCTCTTCACATTCCTGTTCAGAAAACAGTAAAGAACTTTTGAGTCTGTCTTCAGTGCCTGAGCTTCATCTATGTAGTAAATTGGAAAATGAGAGTCACTAATATGCCTTTAGTCCTGATTTTTTTCCTTCCAAAACATGATTTGCTATATGGGATGGTCCTTTGGGGAAGAAAAGAGGGAGAATATTGGCAATGTAAAAACAAATATAGTAATAGAAATTTTTAAAAATTGCATGGTAACTCTCAACTACTGAACTGTAGAACCTGAATGTCCTTTTCGGTGATGGACCAGTAGTTCTGCTCCTCAACTAAGGTGACTTCCTTCATCTCTGGCAGATGTTTGCCAAACACAAACGTGCCAAGTGCGACACTTTGTATTAGTTACCCCCCAAGCCTAAAGTGCATTCCACCACTTCCACTTGACAATTATCAAGACAAAATTCACTTCAAATTCAAAATCATCATTTTGCCTTCTTATATTCTTCTAAGCATAAAGATCTCTAACCTTCAATAAATCTGTATCTATGTCTGTCTCTGTGTCTAAAAAATGTTTTCCCCATCTCAGGAAAATCTACCTCTGAAAAATTCACACTGAAATCAGGCCAGACTACTACAGGGCTTTAAGTTCTGATCTACATCTGTGGAAGATTCTCCACACACGACATCACAGATTCATTACAGCAAGCAAGCAAGAAAGAATCTGATAAATTTGCCATCATCTCCAAGGCAGATCATACTATACCTTCTTCTCTTTAGACTTCTGCGTATTATAAGAAGAGGCAGTTTCATTTTGATGAACAAATTCTTGGGCTACAACAGTTTTTACAGGATCTGCTTCAAGGACACAATTCAGAAATTGCACTGTCTGTTCTAAACAGTAGCTGTGGAGTTAAAATGTAAATACTATCACTGAAGGGAAAATAACACTTAAAATAAGCATTAGAATAGATTATCTTCCTGTAAAACACAATCAGCAGAACCAGAAGAGCATAAACATTAAGTACAATCATAATAAACACATGTATATAAACAAACACAAAGCCAAAGGTAAAAAAGCTTCAGAAGGTGACACAAAGCAATCTATCTTTTGTTTCTTTTTCTATTCTTTGTTGCAATATCCCTCTGTGCTAACCACCCCAACCTATTTTGGCAACAGCAGTTTGGTTGTAGGGGTAACCCTGTGGGTGGTTATCCTGCTAAGTCTGTAGCTAAAGAATCCTTCCTAGTGTGTGCTTCCCCTAAAGAATCAGCCAATAGGCTCAGCTCTTTAGCAAAAGCATTTACTCAAATGGCATACCAAAAATAGTTCTCACAAAGCATTTCCCACAAAATATGGGATATGCTCACCCACAAATACAGAGTGGGGATTGATGCAAAATTAAATTACGATGGTACCAAGGCACGTCTATAGGGAATAGATATGGCCATGGCAACTCTCAACTCTAAAACTGCAGGCCTTGGATGTCCCTTCTCCTAAGGTTCCTTATAAAGTTTGTTGCAGGGTGACGGATGAATAGTTCCATTGCTCAACTAAGCTGACTTCATGCATCTCTGGTAGATGTTTGTCAAGCACAACATGCCAAATGTAGTATTTTGCACTGGTCATCCCCCATGCCTAAAATATACTCCACCATTTCCACTTGTCTAAATTTTTCTCTTCCTTCCTGGCTTTACTGAGTGCTATCTTCCTCTGATCACCCAGCTGAAAGTGTTCTCTCCTTTCTCAAATTTTCCTAGAGCATTCTGTAATCATACACTGCACTATACTTGTTTCCTTCACAGCAGGACACAAACATTTAACACAACTACTCAATTGAATTTATTGGTACAAATAATCAAACACTGAGTACATAGTTAACCTTTAACAAGTTGAGATCAAGTTTTAAAAAACAATGTTGTGACCAAATCAATGGTTTTTTCTTTAGTTATTATATGCCTACTGTTTTTAATTAACATATAGATAATGTGAATCCATCTAATTTTTTCTAATAGTTTATATTATAAAGTAAGGCTTTATAGATTTCTTCAAATCAGTGAGAACTGGCCATACTATCCCCTACACTAAAATGTATTTAAATTTCCATTTTAATTTTGAGATTATATTAACAGATAAAAATTTTAAAGCATATCTTTTATGTATGGTTACATCATGAGTTACAAAAAAATTATTTTAGCCCTCACTTGTTGTCCTTGAAAATGTCCATCAGAAAGTTTTGGTTAATGGTTGGGAACATCTTCAAGAGTTGCTTCTCCTTCAATTTCGCAGCACAATTTTTTTCAAACACAAGTGGCACCTGTTTCTAAACCAAAAACACAAAATTAGCCAGACTGCTAATTGCACTGATCTAAATGCAAAGCTATTTTGAAGCAGGTTGTTATATTGGAATACTTTTTTTTTTTACTGCTGATTAAAGATTATAATGACTAATATGAGAATATAACTATGCTTGCACAATCTTTATCATTTCTCCTGAATGAGTGGAATATACAAATAAGCACCTTCAAGTTTAATAATTGTGTTGTACTTTTCTCCCTTTTCTTAGTGGGGAGGCAGTATCCAGACCTGTAATATCAACACTGTAGGGAATTCCTGGTGAGGAAACACTCCATCTTGTTTTAGATATTATATTTTGTAGCTATTTTTACAAAACTAAATTTGTTTCCAAAGCAATGCTACGAAAATTATGCTACTCCAACAAGGGATAACAATTATTAGACAGAAGTCACATTTGGACCATTGACCTCAAGGTAGAAGGGACTTCTAAACCTTAAGGAGACCATCTAGACTCCCGTGTTTTACAGATCAACTTTCTTAACTTTGTTAATCAAAAGAACACAAGAACTTAAATTAAACAATGTTCACAAAAGTGTCTTGCGACTGTACAATGCCCAAAACAGGTGCTTACTAATTAGCTATTCTAAGTGCAGAAAAAGCAAAAGAGTTGTTGACATAGTCACTGTGTGGATTCGTTTTGCTTATTTGTTACAAGGGTTTTTTTTTCCCTCTTTCTTTCTCAGTTTTTAATTGAGGGTATGGTTTGGAGGATGAGAGGGTTTAGCCATAGTGATGCCAAAGAGTAAGCTTAACAATTTTTAAAATGCATAGATGAGAACAATTTATAAGCAAGCACAGACAAGAAAAACAGGCTGAAAAGAAACATGCAGGAATCACACAACACACCCTACACACATACGCACACATAAGATATACAAATATGTGTGTATTTTTTAAAATAAACATAGTATATGAAATGCAGATTCATAGTATGGAAATGGGTTTTTTTTGGCTTTTTATTTTTCAGAATAAAAAGATACTCAATCCACTTCTGGCAAATGAGCTTTATAGACAAACTACATCCAAAAAAACCCATCAATGTTCTATATGTTACATATTTAAGGTAAATCTGTGTAATTTCAGCAACAGCAACAACTCAGTGCTCTGCAACACAGTAGTTGTCTAATTTAATTTCTCTTGAGCATAGAAGGAAAAATTATTCCCTGGGGAATTCTTAAAGAGGAAAAATAACTGCTGCTACCAAGGCTAAAAGTACAAAGAGACCTAGTCTGGAAAGTGCAAAGGGCTAGTAGAGGATTATATTGCCTTTGCCTACTCTTATTCCTTACTATCCCAAAATACAGCAATCACTGTCATCGCTGTCATACATATCCTTCATTCTTTGTTATCAAACGGACTGATGTGAAAAGTACACTGATCAACAAAAACTAAAGGACTTTTGGCTTTCTTTGGGCTGACTTTTTCTCCAGGACTTATCTAAATATACATTCCAGAAAAAGTCACAAGGTCCAAAAAAAAATAATTTACATGTTTGATCCTTACAGACAGAAGTGATTATTTCCCTCCTTAAGTGCTTTCACAGCACTTTGTACCTGTAATAGATAAGCAAACTTTGCATCTTACTTAGTAGTGTTGCCTTCTACTATATTGCAAGCTTATCAAAGACAAGAATTGTGTTTCACTCATCTTCTTACTTTTCCCAGCAACTAAGATTGTGTCTTCCATGCTGAAGGAGAGCTATAAACATGTTTGGAATTCACAAGGAGTGGAAGAAGAGGGCAGTTTTAGAAAAGAAAAGGAACCATTTTCATCTTAGGTATTTGTTAATATAGATTATAATGCTGTTTTTAAATTAACCTTATGGTAAAATAACATTTTTTGGACAACATGACCACCTAGGTCACAGCATTACTGACCTCACTAATGAATTTAAAATTAATAATTTCATTAATCACCCAATATGATGGCACCCTTTAAACAATTTTGTTCATGTTAAAATAATATTTTTTTGTTTCTTTATAACACAGAAAGTATTTCTTTGCAAGAGCAAGGACTAGGTCACACTGGAGCAAAATGTGGTAAGCGAAATCTCAGGAAAAGACCATAGGATTGTAGATTTTGAATTGGATGGGACACCTCAAAGATCAAACCTTTATCATCCAATTAGTATTGAGATTAACTGACTTGCCCAAGGTCACAAAAACACTTTGTTATCAGAGGCTGGATCTGAACTACAGGCCTGTGTACTACTCCAGATCTAGTACTCTTTCCACAAGATCTAGTAGTATTTCCACAGAACCACTCTGGTCTCCTGTGTGTCTGCTTTTTAAACTAAGGCAAACGTGCCTCTGTTCCTGAAACCAAGGAACAACCTACTCAGTGAAGGAGACAAAAGTTTTAACGAAAACAACTTTCCTGCTTTTATGAAAGATCACAAAATTTGTAGCCCAAGCTTTTGGCCCCCTTTTTTTTTTAATTAAAATACATAAATGTCTAAATTGACCGTGCATGAATCAAAATGGCTGCTTGAGGAAATACTACTTACTATGAAGGGATATTCTGTAAGAGGATGGATGTTTAGATTATTTGAAATGAAAACAAACCACTTTTCTAATTCAGATGACAGTGGACACCAGAAGAAAAGCAGTAAAAAAGCAAACAAACAAACAAACAAACAAACAAATCAAACACTGCACACAAACTCCTGTCTTGATTCTCCTTCCTATGTCCTTCTAAATTTTGTTTTGGCTCCCAATGATAAACGCAATGCCCTGTACACAGCAGTCATTTAATAAATATATATTGAATGTGAAAGAAAGGGAAGCTTAGTAGAGGGCTGTGCAAGTGAAACAAATATCTAAGAGTTGTATAATCAACATCTAATTTTTTTGTTTCAAATTCTGAAAAAGAATACCATAACTTAGGATTTGTGTTCTCTTCATATTAATTAGTTCTAACAATAAAAATGAAAAAAAGACAAATAAAAACTTAAAAGTAAAGGGAATTTAGGATTTAATAAAATTCATATTTTAAGAATTCAATTCTTAGGCTGACTCCTCCTAAACATGTTCCCATACTTCTCTAGAGATAAATATGAAGGAAGCACAGCTCAAACATTTGTAAAATTAAATTTCTTTTAACCCCACACAAAGGGTTTTTTTTTTAAATTAGAGATCTGAAATGTTGTCAGAAAAACTATCTTCAGGAAGGGCTGTCAAAAACTCCAGCTTTGAGAGTGGACAACAACAAAAAAAAAATTTATTCTCTTACTTCATAAACCAACACACCAGGTTATAAGGACTATAAACTGTAAAACCAAAAAATTGTTAACAATTACTATAAAAATAAATTGTCCCACATCCACACATGCCTATCAAAAAATATCTGTAATCTGAGATAATGGTTTAAATTATTATTCTGACATTCATACCATATCATGTTTTTCCTGTAAGGCGATCTCTTCTGACATTATTTCTCTAAGTGAAACTTTTTTAGTCTGAGTATTCCAATGATCCATGAAGAGTGGCATTTCTGATGGATTTTGACACTTCGGTTTTTTGCCTGTTCGTTGAGATGACTTTTGTTCAGGAGTATCAGGATTTGAATGCCCAACGACAGAAGTATCTTAAAAAGCAACAAATTGGTTTGATTTTTCTCAAAACTTAAGCATAATAGGGAAAGTCACAAAGAGTAGTTGACAAAGAAAGCGCAATTCCAGCTTAATTTTCAGAATATTCTCTGCAAATATAAGAACATATTCAAAACTTTGGAAGGGAATGCAGGACTGGTATTTATGACAAGTACTAACAGTCCCATTATTTCAAATAAAGTTATTAATTAACAGGTTTCTACTAAAGGTTACCAAGTCCTCTTTAATACCCTATTTATTTGAAGAAATGTAAAATTTCAGTAAAAGGGATGAATATGAATACTCCCTGAAAATTTCGTGTAACAGAATGCTGCTCACCACCCCCCACTGAAAGCCCACCTTCCTTTCCTTGGATCCTCTTCAGTGAGAAGTGATCACTACCTCCCTTTGAACTTCCATAAAACATTCACATTCTACTTTGCTGTATTTATTTGCGTTCATTTCTTATTCTCCCCTACTAGAATGTGAGAAGAGGACTCATGTCTTCATTCAATTCAATTTAAAACAAACATTTATTTAGGATTTAATATGTGCAAACACCGTCCTAGATGTTGGGGCCAAAGACAAAAACAAGAGTTCCTGCCCACAAGAAACTTACTTTTGGGGGGAGGGGAAGAATGGAGGGATTCAATATTATACACAGATTAGTAAATATGATATAATTTGATGAGGGAAACAACACCAACAATAGGGGAGTTGGAAAAAAAAAAAAGACATTAGAGGAGACGCCTAAACTGAGCTTGAAATGCAGCCAGAAGCAAAAATGAAGAAAAAACACATTCTAGACAAAAGGGAAGAGATTAAGAAATCCTCCAAGGAAGGGCATGGAGTGAACAACTGGCAGATCATGAGGTCACAGAAGTCAATCCAGGGTTTGTTCATTTGTACTACAGACTTCTTGAAACTAAATAAGGCTCAAGGACTGCTAGATTAGCTTATGGTAAGATCTATGAACTGTTTTTATTTCTTAATTTCTTCTCAGTAAGCACATTAAATGATACATTTATATCAATCACATTCCTCAATTAAAGACTTGAATTATTTATGACAAATTCAATGTTATTTTAATCTTGACATCTTTTCCTACAAGTGGTTAATCTAATTACTATCAAGGTAAAACTAGAATTTTAATAACAGGAGTTTTTAAGTGTTTTGTCTAGGAATATGAAAATGGTATCTCACCATTATTCAAGACGGTTAGTTTTAAATTTTAAAAAATATTTTGACTTTAATGTTTCTGAAAAATCCCTAAGTAGTAATTATTGCAAAAGTGAAATATTATTTAAAATAAGATAAACAATGTTTCAATCTTTTTAGTCATAAGAGAATTGCAATTTAAGGTTATTCAAATAAAAATATTTTTACCTCTAGTATGCAGAACATGTGATATTTCATCTTGTCTTTGTCGCTCCTAAAGAAAATTTGGGGATGAAAGAAAACATTAATGAAAATAAATAAAGCATTTTTCTCATGTAATCTCTAATACTAGACTCTGGATAAACAAAGCTTTGTTTAAGAAGTAACCTTATAAAAAGAGAAAAATGGGCATTTAAAAAATCCATATAAATAACTATATAAATGATAAACGATCTTAAAAATAAGAAAAATTCCAAAGATATTTTCCATTTACATGGCTACTCTGGTGAATTTTAAGTGCTACATTTTTAAATTCAATAAATTGCCTCTGTGAATTTTAATGCTAAGAGTAACAAATTGCTCCTTTCTATTTATTTATTTATTGGCTAGGCAATGGGGGTAAGTGACTTGCCCAGGGTCACACTACTAGTAAACGTCAAGCGTCTGAGGTTGGATTTGAACTCAGGTCTTCCTGACTCCAGGGCCGGTGCTCTCTCCACTGTACCACCTAGCTGCCCCTTCCTTTTTATTTTTTTAAGGAAAAAAAAAATCACAAGTTGTGAGGCTAAACTGTTACATCAAGTTCATCTCTAAAGGTATTAACTGGTCAATGTATTATTACAAAGATAAAAAAAAATCCCTAAGACTTACCAGAAAAATGTTGATTCATCTCTGAAAAATCAGTAGGCTAAATCCATGTGTTCTTTCATGCTTAATTTACAATGTGTCATTTTATAAAAATGCATAGAAACTAAAGAGTCAAAATAGATACAAAATTAACTTTTCATAAGAAAGAGGCCTACCAACCATAATAGATTCTTTCCATTTCTCATGAATCACTTTAGCCAGATTCAGATCTATATGAACCACACAATCCTCAACTGTTAGAGACCCTTTTGGAGGGAAAAAAAAAGAAAATATACTAATTATTTTTCCTATTTAAAAAAATATCAAACCAGTAATGAGTCAGTGACTGCTACCTGTGAATCATAAACTTAGTGTAAACCATAAAGCTACTTAAGGTATTATTAAAAGCTTTCCTATGTGCTAAAAGAGTTACTACATTTTTTGTTAACATTTATACAATTGCCCTTATTTTCCCATTTATTCCCTAGTAGTAAATGTTTCCAACTTCATCCTTTGCTGTTGGCCCATGACATAGACAGCCCTTAAAAATTAATTCCACCTAACCTGACAGTATAAGTACCTCAAGCATCAAAAAAAGTTCTGTCCCAGATTAAGTCAAATGACAAACATCAGAAAGAGAATTACCTATTATCTGTAACTGACAGGAAGTACACAAATATATTACTATCATTGTATATAGTGAATTCCTTCTGCCAATGAGGGTTGGCATTATCTTTGAAACTTAGTATGTTAGAGAATTGCCTAGGATACTGAGAGGTTAAATTACTCATCTTGGGTCACAAAATCAGTATATATCAGAAGCAGGAGATGAATCCAGGTGTTCCTGGTTCTGAGGTCAGCTCTTTATCCACTAGTCCACAATGCCTCTCCAATTATTTCAAAGTTCTACCAAATTGTGTTTTTTAAAAATTCTCCACAAATATACAAGCAATTATAAAAATAATACCAAGTTAAGACACACTAGAATTAAGTAAGTAACCTTTCCATTTCTAAAACAAAAATAGTCTTAAAATATTTTCAGTTTAACAATATGGCTAAAGAAAAAAAAAAAATAACTCCCAACAATCTCTAAGGACACACACACACTTGAAATTTATTTCTTACCTGAATCAATGCCAACAGGCCCAAATAATTCACTGAGCTGAAAGGCTAATTCAGGAGGTAATGCCAACTCCAGACAGTCTATATTCATAGGTTTAGGTTTCGTTGGTGTGGAATTCAAAATCTCAGCTTTGTCTACTTCACAGTGAGGTATTTTACTTTCATCATTAATTCCTCCTGCCAACTTGACTGGTGATTTGGCACGTACAATTTTTTCCATTTCTGGCTTATCCTCATTAATATATCCCTCAGTAGGCACCTGAAATTTCTTATCACCTCTTGTAAGATTTTCATTTTTCTTTCCTTCAAAGTATTCAATAATGGTAGTTTCTTCATTTAAAGTATCAGATGTAGCTTTCAAAATATCAGGCAAAACCTGTAAAGAACATGAACCAAACTCTGTGGCTAAAGAGTCCCCATCTATTTCATTCATATTTTTAAGGTTTATATCATTTAAAGTACTTTTTGAAAGATCTAAAACTGACTGTTCGATGTTATCTGAACCAGAAAGTTTTGTCTGATTGATGCAAGAAGGCAATTCATTGGTGTGTCTTACTTCTCTGACAATACTAGATAAAATACTTGTTACTAATTCTGATTTTTCAGTATTTATATCTTTTATGTCAGCTTTTCCAGTGTTTTTACTTTCTTCATCACAGGTAAGCTGTGTATCAATGTGATCCATGCCAGTTCCATGGCCATTTTTTTGTATACTGGAACTGGAAGTCCCTCCATGGCTGATAATCTCCTTCAAATATGCACTTACATCAAATTGCTCGATTTGTGTATCATCGTCTGATTCTGGTAAACTTTCCTCCTCATTCTCTTCACACAACTTTGTTTCGGAATCCAACAAAAGGCTAGTTGCCCAAATAATGTCTTTGTTGCACCGCTCATACAAGTCTTTCAGTGCTTCAGATGAAAAAGAGCCAAAAATCTTACAAAGAGTATTTAGATTTTCAGACTCATCAGCATTACTAAGTTCACTTTCTTCTACATATGTACTTTTATCATACATTACCCTATATGGAATTATTTCTTGGATATCTGATTTGATATTAACATTAAAATCTTTTGGCTTAAATCCGTCTAATTTTCCTGTTAATACCCTGACTGAATCAGAAATGGTAATTTTCTTTTTTTCTATTTTCCACAAAAGAGCAAAATCTTGTGGTTCAGTTTGTGAGCATTTGTTTACATCTAGAAAAGATAATTCTTCAGGCCTCCTTTCTGAAAATTCAAGTGCAACTTTTGGTTCCACCGGATCACTGCAGGTAAAAGTAAGAGACAATTGGCATTCGTGATTTTTCTCACTGCTAGGTTCACAGGATAAAATTTCAGGTTTTTCATGAGTTGAGTTGCTCTGGTCTTCATGATTTGCCAAGACCCCATAAAACACATCTGCTATTTTAAAAGATGTTTCATTCGTACTCTGATTATTTTCAGACTCTAGCTGAGTTTCACTTAAATTTGTTTTTGGCATTCTTGATCTGTGTTCTCTCTGAGCTAAGGAATTTGATATAGGCCAATCTCCCATATCAACTATTTCCGATACATTTTTTTCTTCACCTTTATATGCATCATGCTCATTGCAACTGCTTAAGGGTTCTGGATCCTCATTACATTGTACATTCTTGATATGCTCTCCACTTTCTTCTAATGATTCTCGTTGCTGGACATAAGCTATGTTTACATGCCTGTCACTATCTACTTCCACGCATGATTCAAGAGTATTGTACTCTCTGTTACATTGTACAGATGAAGTTTTTTCAGTTTTTTTATTCCTCTTGATCCTCTGACCCATTGTTTTCTCAACTGGCCAGTCACCAAAAAAATTTAGTAATTCATGCTTTGGGGATTTTTCTGAAACTGAATTGTTTTGTGTCATGAACTGTTTTTCATTTTTTATTTCTGGTTCAGCAGATATTTCACTATGTACATAGTTTTCACTCTGGACTTCGATTTTCTTTGGAAGTCTATTGATGTCTTGGTTTCCTTCACTAAAAGAAGTATTTATCATGATATTCTCTTCAGATCTGGGTGTATCTATTTTAATACTTCGCCCTTTAGTAGGTATATCTACATTTTCTTCCTCTGCATCATATTCATCTAATATTTCTTTATTTTCAGAATTTGCTAATTCATGCTCTCCAGATTCCTGAATGCCAGTTTTCTGAAAATAAGGTTCGATGGCACTTACTTCTTGTTCTCCTTTTTCTAAATCTACAATAGGAAAACACTTCATATTCTCTTGAAATGAAGAAATATTGGTCACCAACTTGAGTTTTTCTTCACTTATCTCAGAATGCTTCAAAGATGAGGAAAGATCATTTTCTTTCAAACAAGTATAATCATCTGAGTCTTTTAGGCTGAAAAACAATAAAAATAAATATTTTACACCCCTTAAAAGAAATTTCTTATTCAATTAAATAAAATAAATACTTATTAGGGGCTACTTTATACAAGGCATAATGCTAGGCCCAACAAATATAAAGAAGGTGGAAAGGAGAGAAGGAAGAAATAGTCCCTGTCCTAGAGGTGAATAATTATATTCTTCCTCAAGAGATAAAACACAGACAAAAATGACTAAATAAGAGAGAAGGTATTAACGATTGAGAGTAATCAAGGAAGGCTTTGTGAAGGATGTGTCACCTGAGCTATGCCTTATAAAAGTTGTAACAAATCAAAGTAAGAATGGAGTGTATTCCATACATGATGGACTCAGAATGAGTCTCAGAAATGAGAAATTAAATATCTGATTAAGAAACCTAACTAATCTGCAACACCATATATAAAGGAGAGTGATATGAAATAGCAATAGAAAAAGATTAAGACTGTGAAAGGCTTTAAATGTTGGCTGAGGAACTGGTTATTTTATGAGAATAATCACATATATATTAAGGGCAAACTTAAGGATTTAGAGAGGATCAGGCAGAATTTTTTCAAATGATATTTACAGTATACCACATTTTTGTCACATGATTTAAAGGTATAGAGAACACAAGGTAATACATGCTTGCCTTGAAAAAAACTACTTGATTTGGTAAAACATTTAAAGGCTCTCCTAAAACAAGGTGTCTGCCACGCAAATTTAAAATCATACTATTTGAAAAGATGCAACAATGGGTAAGATGAATACTATGTAACTTCCTGATGATCACTAATTATAATACAAGGTATAAAACTGGAAGATAAATGCTTGCTAACACTATTTGCAACCATGATGAAACATGACCAGCACAGAATTTAAATGGAAAACAGATTCCCTATATATGCGAGTTCTCCAGATGCTCCTATTTCTGGGTGACATTATGTTAATTATATCAAGCCTGAGAACTCCCTAAACAAGATCCATTATCAATGAAGAGTTCAGATTTATTATCCATAAAAGAATAACCAAGTGGATAAAGAATGACAACTATACTGACAATGATATTCATTTGGATAAACAGTCCATAGATCTGTTAAATTGGTACAGATATCTTGAATGGATATTGATGCAGCTAGGTAGTATCGTAGATAGAGTGCTAGAACTGAAGTAAGAAAAACCTATGTTCTAATCCTGGCACAAACATTATCTGTGTAACCCTATCCATATCACTTAACCTTTAGTTGCTTCAGTTTCATCATCTGTAAAATAGTGGGGTTGGATTTGAGGCTCTCAAAGGACACTTCCAACTCCAGACTCATGAAAATTATTTATTCATATGCATTGACCACTTAACTATTGGAAAATTAGACAGTCAGGTGACACAATGAATAGAGCAAAGGACCTGGAGTCAAGAAGACCTGAGTTTAAATTCACATTCAGGTATTTATTGGCTGTATAACCCCAGGCAAGTTATTTAACCCATCTCCCTCAATTTGCTCATCGGTAAAAGGAGAATAATAGCATCTCTCTCCATGGCAGCTGTGAGGATCAAAGGAGATATTTGTAAAGCATTCTGTAAACCTTAAAGAGCTCGCGCATGCTCCCCCCCTTACACACACACACACACACACACACACACACACACACACACACACACACCCCTAGCTACTATTATAAATGCTAGCTATTCAAATGGTTCTTGGTTTTAGAGGGTAGTATTAATTTCTTACAAATTTTAAGTTTCAGAAATATTTAATGAAACTTCTTTCCAGTCAACAGTTTCTCTTATTCTAGCTGCATTAGTTTTGCTTGTGCAAAAACTTTTTAATTGTATTTGGTGAAAACTGACTTTTCTAAGATCATTTCTACTCTATGTGGTTAAAAATACAACTCACAGAAAGAGATGGGTTATAATTTATGTCATCAGGAGTTTCCACAATGATGAAAACACAGATTCCTAACACATATCACACTTTTATGTCTTTTATAAAACAATGTTATCAACTTGCCCCCTTCCTGCCGGTGGAATTTTCTTATACTTTAGACCCCTTTCAATTATGCTGGCATATTGGCTGTTTCTCACAAACTTCCATCTGTGGGGCAGCTAGGTGGTGCAGTGGATAGAGTACCGGCCCTGAAGTTAGGAGGACCTGAGTTCAAATCTGACGTCAGACCAAAACACGTGACATTTACTGGCTGTGTGACCCTGGGCCAGTCACTTAACCCCAACTGCCTAAAAAATAATAAATAAATAAATAAATAAGCATACTTCCATCTCCATGCCCACACCGGCTGCCCTCATGCCTGGAATGCTGCCTCTCCATAATCTTTGGCTTCCTTTTAAAACACAGCTCAAATAGTGCCTCCTGCAGGAAAGCTATCTTGGTTTCTGCCCCTCTCCCAGCTACCTCCAACCCACCTGCTAGAGCTTTCTCCTCTAAAGTAATTTTCATCAACTAAGTATATCTTAGCCTTTAGAATATAAGCTCCTCGGGGTCAAGATTCTTTTTACCTTTCTTTGTATTCCCAATTCTTAGCACAGTATTTGGTATAATAAGCACACGACAAATGGATCATAAGATCAACCAACCCATCATTTTACAAACAAGGTAATGAATTCCACCAAAGGCTAAGTGATTTGACCAAAGTCACCCAGCTAGGAAGTGTTTGAAGCAGACTTTAAATCCAGTTCTTCCTGTTCTATCAACTATACCACCACTGATTGATAATCACTCATTTTTCTCTCTTTTATGAATCTCAAAGAAGATTTTATCTGCTTGGAGGCTAGGTTTTTATCTGAACTTCCTGGGGTCCTGTCTTCTGCCATCCCTCTTCTGTTCTAACTTGCTCTGTACTAAGCCCTCACATTGCTTGATCTTCGTCATCCAGATTACTGGAGCTGGACAAGTTCAATAACTTCCTTATATTAAAGAGCTAAAGGGAACAGTGCAGCTGGATACCTGCCAGGTAAAAACTCCACGATTAGATGACTGGATCCGAATTTATACCTGCCCTTTCAATCAACAAGAATTTATTAAGTGCCTACTATGTACGTGCCAAGATGCTAAGGGTACAAATATAAAGAATGAAACAACTGGTGGCAAGGACATAAGTTACATTTTGACCATGTTGAGTTTGAGGTATTAATGAGATGTCTGTTGCAGGTGTCCAGCAGACAATTGGTGATAGGGGCCTACAGCTCATAAAGAGAGTCATCTGTATAGAGATGATCATTGAAGCCATTGGAACAAATGAGATCACTAAAAGAGAGACTACAGAGAGAAAAGCAGGCTAAAGATAACATAAAGGGTCATACATAGTTAGGGCATAACTGATCAATGAGCCAAAGCATGATCCACCTAGGGAGAGGTAGAAAAGGAGAAAGCAGTATGCTAAGAGACTCTCCAGGAAGAACATAAACCTTCAACAGCTTAAGTTAAGTCCTGAGAGAAAACCAGGCCTAACAACCAGATGTTGTTGGTAAAACTGGACAGAACAAGTTTAAACAGAATGATGGGCTGTAAGGAAGTGACAACAGAGAAGTTGATTCTCTCCAGGTGTTCAGCACTGAAAAGTAGCACTTCAAAAGATATTTGAAGATACCTTGAATGGATAATAGGATCAAGCAGAGATTTTATAAGGACGGGGAAAGCCTATGCTTGTGGGTAATCCATTAACAAACATTTATTAAGCACCTGCTATGTAGCAGGGCTTATGCTAGGCAATGGAGACATGAAGAAAAATATTAAATAGTCCCTGCCCCCAAGAAGCTTTCATTCAATCAGGGATGTACAGACATTACAATATACACGAAAAGTAACTGGCAGGATCAGGAAGACCTCATTAAGGAGGCCTTCAAGCTGAGCTCTGAAGGAAGCTATGGATTTTGAGAGGCAGAGACGAGGAGGGAATGCATCCTAGGCAACAGAAAACAGCCAGGCAGTAGAGAGAGATTGAAGATTGCTGTGAAGGCAGGGGAAGGATTCAGGAGATTAGTTTCTGGAAGAACACAGGATCAAAGACATAAGAAGAGAAGGAAGGAAGGAAGAAAAAAAGGTCTTCTGGAGATGATTTGTGAAGATACAGAGTCTGGGAATCTGAAGTACAGAATAAGATAAAGGCATCCTATGATGAAAAATAGGTGTGATAATACAAGGTGGGGGGAGGGCAGGAGTGGAAGAGGAGTACCAATGTTTTGAAAAGCATCGATAAATCATTAAAATAATCAGAAGATAGCAAAAAGAAGTCCAGAAGAGGACAGGACACTGAAGGAACTACCATGTTATATCTGAATTATGTTCCCCACCTCCTCACCCCTACACAAAAAAAGGCAGTACATTGGAAGGGAAGGGAGAGAGGACAGAGCTAAACCGGGCATAATGGAAGTAAATAGTTTCATAAACAATATCCCCTTATTATTTTTTTTCTTTGTACACTAAAATATTCACGTTGTGAGAACCTGGTTGAAATTTCCAACTCCTACCCTTTATAAACACACAGCTATCACTACCACTATTTTCACAGATACTTCTATTTGTTTATTTCTTTATCTAATTCACTGATCTATCCAATCGACCATTTGTCCTTTATATAAGTTTCTGTTAGTGCTGACTTTTCTACATTAGAAACTTCTAAAGATCAATGACTAAGCTATTTTGTATAAACCCTAGGACAAACACAGGAACTGAATGAATAAAAAAATGAATAAGGAATATATTGATGCTGTTAACTCTGCCCTGTCCATCATGGCAAGTCCCCATTCTAGAAACAATGATTAAAAAAAAAAAGATTTCAACCCTTTATTCAGTTAAGCATTTCATCTAAGCCAAAGACAATGAATATCTACTGTATTCTGAAAGATCCCCAAAGGAAAAACTCTATAATCTCCCAAAGAAAATTGCAAGATTTTGTGGGGAGGGAGGAGGGAATACAGAAGGTAAATTTAAAACAATCTTTTTATTTAAAAACAAATTTACTTAATTTAGCTTCCAAGTACACAAGGTATTTCAACCCACCTAATATTTTCTTCTTGATGAGAAGGTTCACTTAACTCAGTATGTTCTGGTCTATCTGGAACTGAAGAATCCAGGACATGTGTCACAGAAACATAACGTTCATAGTGTTCCATCATTCTTGCTATTTTCTCTTTGGTTACCCCATGAATGTTGCGCCTAAAAATATCAGAGTAGGAAGGAAAGGAGAAGCAGGAATGTAAAAGAACAGAAGTTCTTATATTCTTTCTTACTTATTCAATTCAACGTGAATTCTCTAAATACATAAACACCTATCAACTCAGAAAAAGAATGCAAAGGCCACCTTTCCTGGCCAGCATCACCTCCAAATACTTTCAGAAATTTTACATTTACATTTTGCTCTAAGTCTTTTAGGCACAGATGAATCATAGGTAAAAATCTATTTTAAAAATATTCTTGTAAAGGTACTTTACTGACACCAACTTGCGTATATGGTTTCAGTTAGCATGTGTATTACAATTAAACTTCAAATGATGGAGATATTGTCAATGTTTCGAATACTGTTAATATGTTCAAGATGAGAAGGCTACGTGGGTTGCCATTTGTAATAATAGGTACACACAATAATATGGTCCATCTCAAGTATATTAAGATACTTTCAGACTCATTATTATCAGACAGTGATTTCTCCTTCATTATCTATTCCTGCACTATCTATACCTTCAAAGATCCATGATTTCATCTATGTGAATACTTCTGCCACTGAAGCAAATCAACACCCCCCCCCCCACACACACACACTTTAATTGCTGTGAACAAAAAATTTCACCACTAGGTAACCAACCCTCTGGCAGGATAAGCTTAGCTGAGTTGGTCCTCAACAAACACATCATGGACCATATGCTCAAAGCCTTCCCAGCTGAGGAAGGACTAGGAGTTTTTATACTTCATTGCCACTTCTCGTTGTCACTTGCACACAATGAGCGAAAATGTATCCCGTAGGCTCACAGGATCATAGCTGTAGAGCTCAAAAGGGCTTCAGGGAACAGACAAGGAGAATAACGCCCAAGTATCTTGTCCGAAATAGAGACATGAGACACTCATGTAGGAGGCAGAGGCTTCCATGGAACGCATCTTATTTCTCTAATGGGAGATTCCTTCAAATGAAATCTGCCTTATAGAAAAATTTGGCGAAATATCTATCCTCCTAAATAAGAAATACCTACACAAATCATGGCATACTTTAATTCAATCTGAAGCGAATAATCAGTTCTCAATTATCCATGCACATTAGGGATCAATGGCATAAATAATCCAAAACAGATTTAATTTTTAAAGTCTACAGATGGAAAAAAATACTAAAAGCATGCCAAGTGGCACTACTGAGATATGAACCTCGAGCAATTCAGAACCTGTCTATACCTTCCTTATTCAGGTAAATTCTAGTTAAAAAGAATGTCAAAGGTAGCTGAGGTGAAAGGACAGAAGATAACAAAGTGGCAAGATGGAAGTCACAGAGTGGATAAAAATGGAAAGACATACTGTTACCAGGCAAACGTTATTTCTACTACCCAAATTACTTTCCCAGGAGAAATTCATGTGTCCCCTTACCCAATAGGGCACCCAGGGTAAAAACTACTCTCAAGATAAATAGCTCAAGGCTATAGATAATAAATTTCTGTTTTCTTGGATAACAAAACACTACTTGTATGTGACACAGGCTATTCTTTATTCTGCCAACTAAATTAAAAGACAACAATATATCAAACTCATCATACAAAGCTAGAAGCATAATGAACACAATTTAAAACATAGTTTAACATTTTTTAAGAATAGCAAAAGGAGTGTAATCACACTGGATTCACTCATTTCTAAGGGAGAAATCAAAAGGGACATACTGTGAGTACCATGAGAGAAACAAAAGGAGAGTTTTTACCTTGCAAGTTCCTTTGGTTTAAATTTCCACCATGTGTCCGGTTCCCGGAAGTGAATTTTATATTTGTATTTTTGTGACTAAATAAAAGCAAATATATGTTTATTTCCACAAGATTACAATTCAGTGTTAATGTTATGACCTTTAAAGCAACTTATAAATCTAAAGTTCTATGATATGATATAGATAGAAAACTAAACAGTTACTTAAAAAACCATGCTTCAGAAATAAGAAGATATTCTTGGATAATAAACTCTCAAAATGGCCTGGACTGAGTCCAGAAAAAAGTTAAAACAAACAAACAAACAAAAAAAAAAACCACAACACAATTTTACAAGAAAAACTTTTCTGTACATGGCAAGAAGGCTTTTTCCAACCGCCCAAAGCATAGAAAACTGTACTCTATTCATCTCCACTCCCTACTAGTCAGTGGGCTCTTTTTTTATTTAATTTCAAATCCTCATGCATTGAAAACCCTTGAGATCAAATATGGGATAGAAATAAACAATGCCTCTGCAATGGTCATTCCAAGAACCAAGTGTCTCAAATGGACACTATGGCGAGCATTTAAGCTGAGCTGGGATAGGCCAGGGAACCAATATAATGTTAGTACAGGTATCCCTTCCACATCATGGGGGTTAGGGGTACAGCACACCTGGAAAATCTCTGTAAAATTTTTTGGCCTTCCTTTGTATCAGAGAAGAAGTCTGAATTATTACGCTATTAAAAGATAAAATATATTGACATTATACAATACTATACATATATTTCATGTATTTCTGAGGTTCCAAACTTTTTCTGTGTCATCTGCTGGCCTTCGCCAAAAACTCCCAAAAAATTCCCATTTAATTGCTTATGCTGACCCACGATATAGTGAAACTGCAATGAGCAAAGTCACAATGTAGAAAGGATAACTATAGAGAGGATGGGAATGGAACACTGCAAAAACCTGTAAAAGAAATATAGTAAAAAGAGGGGCAATGTATGAACCTGCAGAAAGTTCAGATTAACAAGAAACTAAAAGAACTATCTCCTTGGATAATGACGCAGCCAGCTGAGCCAACAGGGAGGAAATTGTTTAGCAAGGCTCTTGATCTTATCTCTACAAGTAAGAGAACACCCTGAAGCCAGCGAAGACCTACAGGGTATCAAAGGAAGGAAAAGGAAGAGATGATGTTCCTTCCCAGAGCGAAGGCTAAAGCCCCAACTGTATTCAAAGGACCCTTCTTTAAGCAAAATTCTTTTCTCAGACCTCAGAAAGTTGAAAAATGTATTCAAATTAGCAAAACTAGGGCACACAAAAGGGAATTTTGAGAAGAATGGGAAAGGAATTAAGCAAAAAATACCTTCCACTATTTTATGATTACAAAGCAGTACACACTCTCATTTGAGTCTCACAAGCGCCCCATGAGCAGGGAAGCAAAAGTTTTATTTGTCCCCTTTCCACAAGAAAAAAAACTGAAGCTCAGAAACGTTGAATGACTTGCCCAAAGTCACAGATTAACTGTAACACAGGTCTTCTGATACCAAGCCCAGGGTTCTTTCCATTCGTCATATGAGTCTAGGTTAAGGACTCTAACATAAAGGGATGAGGGAGAAGATCCAACAGCAGCAACCACTGATCTGAGTCCTGCTATCATAGGCCTTTAGTAAATTATGATACTAACCAAAATTATATACGGCTTCATCTCCCATGCCTGTAGGTTTGTATTATCTATTATTACAGGAGAAACCTTCTTCTCTAATGCTTCTTTAGCTGAAAGATATATATTGTTATGAAAGAGAATGACTTTTTAGTAAGTGGACATTCAGTATTAACTTGAATTTTTTAAGTAAAATTAAAATACTGGAAAATCTGGAAACATACTGATCCACTCAATAAACAGTAAATTTGTGAGAGCACAAAAGTTTTTAAATGAAAATAAATGCACACTACATACTGATGAAAATAAAACTATAAAAACACTTAAAATGTTACATAATCTAATTTATAATCTTTAATGTAAAAATTGCATAAAATATCAAAATATCCTTCAAAAGAATAATAAATGCTTTAAGAGTTTTTGATTTCAAACCAAATAAGCATTTCGAGATCTATATATACCACAAATGTTGTACATACAACTTTTTTATACATATCAATTTAGGTGTGGAACATCACAGGACTTTAGTTTTTTTTTAAAAATCCAGATACAATTTAAGTCAACATTAAATAATTTGGAGGTTTAAAAGTTTTCCTTACATTTATTTATTTATTTTTTACATAGGTTTTTTCATACTCTAGTTTTTCTATTTTTTTTTTTAAACTTTCAAGAGACAGTATAGAATACAAAGGAAAGCACTCCCTCTACAGGGGACTTTTACCTCAAGGACAAAACAGGTTTCTAAACTTATTTTGCAACATCTCCAAAGAAATAATAATTCCTCCACATAGAATAGAAAAATATATTAATTAATTCTTCAATGACCCTAGTATGGCTAGGAAATTTGTGCTCAAGAAATAAACCTATTCCAACAAAAGTTACCTTAGGTTTGGCCAGTGTTAAAGATCCCCACATAAAGATTAGGTTGGCTGATATTCCACTAAAGACTCTGACCTACTCACTGGGGGACACTAACTGTGGCCCACCTTGATTATACCAGAAACATATATGCAGGAAGCTCCAGGAACAAACCAACTTTATAAAACTACATTTGCCTACACACCTCTTGTCTTATGCAGCATAAGTATATGTATAGGTTTCCTTTACCAGTGCCAGATACTTCAATGTATAAATGACAATAGCATTTTCCTTTAAATTAACTTTAATATGACCAAGCCATCTAATGTCTAATTCTTACCTCGTTTCTGGTTCCACTCATGCGCTTCACCCAATAAATTTCCATCAAATTGATACTGTCCATTTTTGTAAAAAAAATCATCTGAACTAAGTATAATTCCATTAGGATTCTCCTCTAGTAATTTCCTGTAATAAAAATTAAATTTAATCAATGGAATTACTTTTCCAAATTAATTTCCCAATTTTTAGATCTTAAGGCTGAAATGAAGATATAAAATGCAAATGTTATTTGATGAGGATGTTACAATTGTTCTCTAAAGAGTAAAGGGAGGGATATGAACCCAGGAAAACTAATCTATTCTTCTTTGTATAACTTATTCCTCAGAAATCTACTTTAAAACTTTCAGAGTAAAGATCTGCAGATTTAAATTTTTTAGAATTAGCAAGGAAGCCTTAGTAGTCTATCAAGCATATAAGAACATTATCAGCCATACATATTTCCACTCCTGCACCGATGACATATATCCAATCTGTGGAACCAACTGAAATAAAAGACAAGAGAATTTAAGGAAGTCTTGTATTAAACAGAAATCAAGGTAGCATGGGATTAATTAAGATGCTCAAAAGTGAAGAGGGACCCATAATTGTTCAAAAGTATTAATAACAAATTTTGTGATGATATAAAGATGTTAATATATTAACAGTAATTTTTTAAAAAATTACAGAGTTCTCCAAAGGTCTTACTTAGCGTCGTTTTAATCTTTAGTAGATTAAAACTAAGATTTTTTTTTTTTAATACTTTGTATATTAAGAACCAATGCAGGTTAAATAAGGCACCTGGTAAGTCTACTGAGCAAACTAAACACAATGACAAATACATAGGGCAAACATCTGAGGTAGCAAAAATTTATTATGCAAGAGCTCAGTATTCTGTTTTGGTTACAATATTCAAACTTTTCAGAAAAGCGCACAGTGATACATGCAAGAACTAATTTAATATAGCTGTTGTCTTTGTTCCTTGACAAGAAGATTTTACTTTACACATATATGCCCTTCTGATTGTCAACTTCATCACCATGCTTCATTCAACCATCCTCTTACCTGAAATTTCCCTCAGTACCTGTGGCATCCCCTTCCCCTTCCCACTTCTCCCACCGGTAAGTTCCGCATGGAGTCTTCACTTTGGGGAGGGGCCCAGGCTGCTCATCCTTCAATCCTCTCCAGGCTCTGCTTCTATCCCTTCTGATAGTCTTATCAAATTTGAAAGATTTCTTAGCATAGACCCAATGTTGGCTAAATGTGGAAAGGCTCAACAGCACAAGGTTGGCTACCAAATGGCATGAGCCATAACTCATAAAAAGCTACTAAACCCTAAAAGGAGTATAAAGAAATTCAAAAGGGTAACACAGAAAACCAAATACTCTCAATTTAGAAATCAGAAATCTGAGACTATTTTTTGACATCACAGTATTAAAGAATAACTTCCCAAAAAAACCCTTCTATTACACAAAAGTATATCAAACTGTCCTATGTGACACATTAAATTTATTGTGTGATATTAACACTATTTTAAAGTATCAAATGAGCATGCTCCATATTTGTTAAATAATTTAAAAAAAAAACTGTAATCCCTGAAATTAGAGGAAAAAATAGATTAAGCTCTAACCAATTAAGACAAACCATAATATTAACATGGCAGCAAAAATTCAATTAAACAGAGAGCAAAGTGCCTAATGAGATACTATGCTAGGCAATGAAATGATATTTTTTTAAATGTTTAAATAAGAACATGACATCAAAGACCTCACAATCTAAATAGAGAATAAAACATATACACAAAAAAGTAGACAATAGAACATGCTGATGTAAAACATGAAGCCACCACAAAAAAAACTGCTATTTAACATCTGAGGAAATAGAGGATCTTTGCAGGAGAATCTCCAAAGATTTCATGGAGGAACATGGGGATTTCAAACCTAAAGCTGGCAGAAAACTTCAAAAGCTATACAGTCCAAATCCCTCATTTAACAGTCATAGAAACTAAGGCCCAAGGAGTGTTAAATGACTTACCCAAGGTCACACAAGCAGTCAGCATCAGAAACAGGATTTAAACTCAAGTCCTCTGACTTCAAAGTCAGTGCTCTTTCCTCTCTACCATATTGTTTTGGAGGAAGAATTGAAAGGTCTTTAGAATTTACAACAGATGTGCAAAGTGAGAGAAGGAAGAATCAAGCCTGAATGACTGGATCAAAAGAAACAGGGAAGATCAAGGAAAAAGAAAAAGAACCTGTAGGTACAAAAATATTTATAACAGCTTTTTTTGTGGTGGCAAAGAACTGGAAACTAAGGGGATTCTTGTCAGTGGGGAATAGCTGAACAAGTTGTGGTATATGATTATGATGGAATACTATTGTATTATAAGAAAAGATAAGCAAGATGGTTTCAGAAAAACCTGGTAAAACTTACATGAACTGACGCATAGTGAAGTGACCAGAACCAGGAGATGATTGTACACAGTTAACAGCAATATTGTTAAGATAATCAACTGTGAAAGATTTAACTGCTCTGATCAATACAATGATCCAAGATAATTCCAAGGTATTTATGATGAAAAATTGTTTTCCACCTCCAGTGAGAGAACTAATGAAATGAGTGCAAATAGAAGTATAATTTTCTCACTTTATTTTTCTTGCTTTTTTTTTCACAATATGGCTAATATGAAAATGTTTTGCATGATTTCACATATATAATTGATATACTGCTTGCCTTTTCAGTGGGTGGGGGAGGGCCTGGAGGGACAGAGTGAATTTGAAACTCAAACAATTTTTTCAATGTTAAAGAAATAAATAATGGTTGTTTTTCTTTTTAAACAAAGAAACAGGAAAGTTTGGAAAAAGGACAAGTTTTATTGGAAGAAAGGAGTGGAATGGGGAAATTATTCTGAACGTGTTGAGTTCTAGTTACCGGTCTCTAGGAAGACAGTTGGAAATGTTAGGCCAGAAGCTTAGGGCAGAGACTGGACTTAAATATATAGAAGCATCTGCTTATAGGTGGTACTTGAAGCCATGAAATCACCAAAGGACTATAAAGAGGAAAAAGTGGTTGGGACATTTAAACTTAGGGTGGCAAATAAAAATGAACCAGGACAAGAAGCTGAAAAGTGACTGTCCTACAGGTCAAAGAATGAGAAGAACAAGAAGAAGCCAAGAGAGGAGAGGATATCAAGGCAGAGATAATGAAGTACCATTATATATTATAGAAGTACCACTATATATGATAGAAAAATCTAGAAGTACTGAGAAAAGGATAATAGGAAAGAAAGGTCAGGTTGCAGTGAAAGTAGGAGAGAGGAATTATTTTGATGCTCAAAGGAAATTTACTCTAATGAAAGGGGCTTAAATTCTAAATTTCCTTTTTGTTCAAGGAGCTGCTTCTAAATATAACGAAAGGGCTAATCTTTCTTAACAATTAGCTCTCTGCTTACTGAATAGTGTAAAATCAGAGAGGTAGTCTCAAAGACATGTCAAATTTGTTTTTTTAAGAGTTAAATCCACAGAGAATCCTAAGACCCTTCTAAGAAGGTTTCAACGATAGTGATTTTTACCCTTATTTAGGGGACATCTTTTTTCTCCACAAGACACATTTTTAATTTTAAAATGAAAGTTAAAGGGAAAACAGATTTTACTTACTAGAAAGCTTTACCACAAATTTAGCTCTTACACTTTTGCTACATAGCTAAGGAAATTTGCATGTACCATACTGATCTTACTACAACCTAACTCCAAAATAAGAGCCACAAATTCTAAAATGAAATTTCTTTTAAAATAAAAAATTGCATAGATATAGAATGAAAAATAACTATGCAAAGTTACTATATACATATACATTGACTGAACAGTTTTAACTTTCTGTTCAATTCAAATATATTTTATTCATCACTGATCTTTTTTATCTTCATCATTTTTAACTATCCTTTCTAATTGTCCTCTGGTGCTGTCTTTATTATCATCCATTGGTTCTAAGATCCTAATCACAAGACACATATGTGTTTTGTGGTATATCAACACAGTACATGTTTTTGTTGCTGTTAAGTCTGATTCTTCATGACCTGATTTGGGGTTTTCTTGGCAAAGACAATGGAGTGGTTTGACATTTCCTTCCCAGCTCATTTTACAGATGAGAAAACTGAGGCAAACAGGGTTAAATGACTTGCCCAGGGTCACACAGCTAGTAAGTGTCTGAGGTCAGATTTGAAATCAGGAAGTCAGGAAGATTCCAGATTCTGTGCTCTATCTACTGTACCACCTAGCTACCCTGTATATTACACATATCCATAGTATCTACCTATACCATAAATGTTTTTAATAAATAAATTCATAAATAACCTTAAAAAATCTAGAAAAACAAATATTAAAGCCACTATCAGTATGTCATTATAGTTTGACTTAATTTTGTATATGTGTGTATATAATCTTTATTTTCCTTAAAGTCAGTCTCAGGGGAACAACTTTCACTCTTCTCTAATCTCCCTTGCTTTGTTCTATTGCCTTTCTTCTCCCATTTATTCCCTTCTTTCTCTCCTATCTTCCCTCAAGATCCCTTATGTTGACTTTTTCCTTCAAAAATGTACAAGTCTCCTTTATCTTTATAAAATCATGCCAACTACCGCATTATTTTTCTACTTCCTTGACCTACCAAACTTCTGTAAGAAGATTTTTACCACTCCTTATGTTTCTATGTAGTGATCATCCATTCTCTCTTTCAGTGATGGGCTTCCAATCTATTATTCATGGTAACCAAAAAGCATTTTTGAGCCAAATCTAAGACCTCATTTCTCTCCTTTCTTGTCTGTGCCACATTCGGGACCATTGATGATGACTCTTTCCCCTTAAAATCTCTCTAACTTTGGTGCTATACTCTTCTATCTTAGGTCTTCTTCCTCTCTCTTTCTCTTCTTTGTTACCTTTAATGACTGCTCTTCTCCTTGCCTCCTAAAGACAGTATGACTGTATTCTAAGTTCTTTGCTCTCCAATCTCTACAATCATTATCTCAGACAACTCATCTTGAAGTGGGATGAGTTCCTTCTGTGGCACTCTCAACTGTTTCACATTCCTGCTCAGTGCACTACAAATCATAGTGATGTAGTTAGTTATAACTCAATAGCACTGAATGCCTTGCCACTTCT